CACACACACACACACACACACACACACACACACACACACACACACACACACTCACACACATATTCTTACACCACTATCCAAACCTTAGACTCACAGTCTCAGAAAACCAGAAGAGATCTTAATTCAAACACAATTTAGTTTTAGTAAAGGTTTTACGACACTTGCAACACAATAACGTTATGAGTCGAAAATTAGAGACTTTACAAAAGAATAACAATACTAAAAAGAAGGAGAAGGGATTAGGACGATAGATGTTTGATAAGAAAAAAAAATGAGCAAACCACACACATGAACGCCCGCCAAGCCACTAGCATTCACACACAAATTCCAGTGAGAATCGCAAAGCAATATCTTGAACCACCGGCAGCACCATTATCCCACCCAGGACGGAAGTACCCCCACGTTCCAGAACTCTCCACGGTTCGATTACCTCTTTATGTTCACGCTGAATGACAGTAACAGGAGCAGGGTGATCTTAGTACAACACCTTTCACTCGATCTAAGACTTTCTAAGTGTTTTCCAATCTTACTTGGGAATAGGTATGCCAAAATAATATACCTCGCTGTACTATGCACCCGAGGACCTCTTTATGCCACTTATTACTCCAGGTCTGAGAAGGAGAAGGACTACATTATAGCTGTATGAATGAGAGGAATAATGAGCTCTTAAGGGAGGGGGGAGGACGGGGAGGTGCAAACTTTTGATAATTGCTAATTTGCGGATATATCTAAAGCGTCTAGGAATATATAATGAGCTAATCTACGTAAAGCCAAAGTTGATACTTTGAAAAGGAGGGGAGGAATTCCATTTTTTTAAGGAGGTGGGGTTGGGGTTGGGGAGGAGGAGGGCGATCTTTTGTTTGAGGGTGCAACAGTAATACTAGGAACGAAGTACTGGTTTCGATTGATTTCACATGACTACACGATAATCCAACCCGCCCAGATTCATTTGGAGCGTTCTGGTGTTGGGGTGAAAAGGTGTGTGTTTTTTTTTTTTTAACCGACTACCCGGGAGTTTTCGCTTATTTCCATTGAGAGTTCGGGGCAGGCGGTCTTGAAAACGCCTTTTCACCACAGCGGAACTCTCAATGGAAATTAGTGAGAGGTCCCGGAGGTCATTTTGTGGACCCCATAAATGACCTTTATTTCGGTTCCAGGGTTCTTTGTGTGTTACGTACGTTGGTCGGTGTGGAACTGGATGCTTTAAGGGGCCTGTGGTAATACAAGACTGATCGATAGAAATCTTTATCATCACTTCTGTAAGTGTTTACAGAGTAGAAATCTTTGCCCCCATTTCTATAAACACTCTGCAACGGCTATTTTCATTTTTTTGGGTAAGAGTTTACGGCACTTGCAATACAAAAAAGGTCATATTATATAAATTTATAAGGGTCGAAGATTGGATGTGCTACATGAGAATAACGAAAACGAACGTAAAAAAAAAAAAAAAGAAGAAGGAGAAAAGATAAGAACGATGGAAATTGATAGGAAAGAAGGAGCAAACAGCACCAGAGCACCAGCCAACCACCGTCCTGGTATTTTCTGGCACTGATTGACCAAATTTAAAAAATGATAAACGCATAGAGCCCCCTGCGTTGTATTTGCGTGCAATAAAAGGAAACACAACACGATAGGACCATTATCATCGGCTGTCACGGAACCAGGACGGGTCAGGTGTCTACTGATGAGCCAATGAGACAGACGGTGCGTGGGTGGGGAGGGCCGGGTGAAGAATGTCGAAACTGCATTCATATGCCCAATCAGATATCATGTTCAAATTTTGTGAAATTGGTGAAAACATCACAGATACAAAAAGTGAGAGCAAACACGACTTAATTCTGTGCACTGGTAATGATTAATTATTTCGTTTTTATTTCTATTTTATTTGGGAGGGGGG